GCATATGCCATTATCTGGACAAACTTGATAAAAACTTATTTCATGTGCTTAGAGACAGACAAAAGGCAAGACATCTAACACTAAAAAAAAAAAAAGCTCTTATTGCTTTATCCAATAAATCCAAATCGTTAGCTTTAAAGTAGCTCTTACTGCTCTAGCCAATAAAACCAAATCGTTAGCTTTAAGAAAAAAAAAAAATCTGTAAACCAGAAATGTCCCAAATCCTTCAGCTGCTCAACAAACTGCATGGTTTAGTTGGGTTCCTCTGCAAATACCATGGTCTGTATGAGAGGTAGTAACTTTTATAGCCCAACTGATCTACCTTCAAAAAACACATTCTGGGATACGAAGGTTTGAAGCTGCGCCTGAAAACTTGACCTTTACATCAGCTGATCTAATCTAATAAAAGATATTACCTCTCCCTAGAAGCCCTTGCTTTGTTTATGGGCACGACTGCCTGCGAGTACAGCACTGCTGCTGCCAGACGATGCCAACTGCAAGGCTCTCCCGCTGCCCAGGGTGGGAAGGACTGCCAGCTCATGAAGCGATTGCCCAAAAATACTCTCACATTAGGGATCCCCGCGCAGTACCAGTGTCTCCAACTTCGCTATTTTCAAGAGGAGACTTGAGACACTCCTATCATGTACCTGGGGCCGCGGTGGTGTAAAAGGGGTGGCAGTGGAGCTGCTGACCACTTCAGTTGTCTGCAGACATCGTGGCATTCACAGAAGAATCATTTAGGTTGGAAAAGACCTTTCAGATCATCGAGTCCAACCGTAAACCTAACACCACCAATCCATGTCCTCAGGTGCCCGCCTCGGCTTCAGCCTTGCGCACCTGCGCGCTGTGTCTCCATTGACCTGCATCTGGGCAGCCGTCAAGGCAGCTGCCGGAGCGGTCAGCGGGATCCTGTTACCCACCCAGCACAGCGCTAATTAATCTCCAAATCAGTGGGGCCACAGCTTCTGCTGGACAGGCACCGGGCAAGACCCCCCGAATGCCCTCGGGCTTTCCTCTCCCCCTGCCTGGGGAAGGACTGCCAGCTCATGAAGCGATTGCCCAAAAATACTCTCACATTAGGGATCCCCGCGCAGTACCAGTGTCTCCAACTTCGCTATTTTCAAGAGGAGACTTGAGACACTCCTATCATGTACCTGGGGCCGCGGTGGTGTAAAAGGGGTGGCAGTGGAGCTGCTGACCACTTCAGTTGTCTGCAGACATCGTGGCATTCACAGAAGAATCATTTAGGTTGGAAAAGACCTTTCAGATCATCGAGTCCAACCGTAAACCTAACACCACCAATCCATGTCCTCAGGTGCCCGCCTCGGCTTCAGCCTTGCGCACCTGCACGCTGTGTCTCCATTGACCTGCATCCGGGC